TCCGGCGTTCCGCTCCACCAGTGCTCAGGGACAGGGACAGGGGGGGCTGCTCTCCCGTACACCAGTGCACAGGGACGGGGACAGGGGGGCTGCTCTCCCGTACACCAGTGCACAGGGACGGGGACAGGGGGGCTGCTCTCCCGTACACCAGTGCTCAGGGATGGGGACAGCGGGCTGCTCTCCCGTACACCAGTGCACACACGCAGACAGACCTCCAAGGATGCAGCCACACCATCCCCACCCTGCAGAGGCCTCGGGGCAGTTCGCATGGGAGCCCATGTAGGTACAGGTGCTGGGCCCAGGCCCCTCCACACCCTCGGGAGCCCAGGAGGGTCCAGTGGGTAGACAGGGGTCGGAGCCGCCAGGGCTGACTCTCGAAGGAGGGGCCGGCCTCCACCAGGGGGGGTGGCCCGCCTGCCACAGGAGGGCCCGGCGTCTAGGCAGGAGCTCGGTAGGGGACGGGCGGGCCTCTGCCGCTCTCCACTTCCTGCCGCCTGTGGTCACTTCCTCCTGGGCCTCCGCGCTGCCTTTTGAAGTTCTCACCCACCAGTGCCCTGGCTGTCCCTGGCTGTCGCTCCTCCCAGGCCCCGCCGCACGGCACAGCCCCGGGGTCCTAGCAGCGCCCTCTCCGGCAGCTGGCCAGGCCTCAGCCTCCTACAAGGACGGGGTCCAGGGGGCCGTCTGTGGGTGGGTGTGGGCGGCAGAGGGCACCCAGGTGCGGCCCGTCACACTGTCACCAACGAGCCACACACAGACACCCTCGCCCTCCTGCCCCCAGGAACACGGCCGTCTGCTGTGTGGGGTGGCGTGCGTGTGCACACGTGTGCTCAGACACACTGCACGCCAGCGTACTTCAGGGAGGGCCCGGCCAGGTGAGCTGCAGGGTCCGCCAGGAGGGAGGCGGCCCCCAGGTGCCCACAGGCTGTGACAGCGTGCGGCCTAGGGCCAGTCATCTTCCTCAGAGCCTCCATCGGGTGGGGGCTGGCGGGGGCTGTGCCTTGCACCGGTACCACCGAGGGGCGGCCACGTATCCCTGGTCTCCCTGTGCCGTCCCCCCCACTGCCCAGAGAGGCTCAGGCAGAGCCAGCAGTCGCAGCGAGGCAGGAGTCCCACCCCGGGTCCCCGACCGAGGGGCTGCTTTGGGTCAGGGCAGCGTGAAGGCACCGCTGGGCGGGCGTTGGGGACGCCGTGGGCCAGGGTCTCAGCCCCTCCCAGGCCATCCTCACCCAGCCACAGGGGACCCACGTCGGCAGCCTCTGCGAGGGGTGCGTGGCCTGTGGGCAGGACGCCCCGCCTGGGCCTGGGTAGGTGACACCGGGAGTGGGCGCCCAAGGCCGGGAAGAGCCCCGGCCGCACGGCAGCCTGTTCCCGAAGCACAGCTCCCCACCCCACCCACCAAGTAAATTACAGGCGTTTAAATCTATTTAAAATCCGGCAGCAAGTGGCATGGCGGTTAAGGCGCTGGACGCTCCACGCTCTCTGTCTCTCTGGTCAAATGAAAATGGATGACGAATGAGTAAAGCTAAGTCAGAGTAACCCTTTGAGAAGAAAAGCCAGTGTCGGGTCACCACGGCGTTGACACCCTAAGCCGACACCCAGGCTTGGTCGCTGTCCCCAGGCATATCCCATCTCACCCTGCCCTGGAGGTGACCCTGCACAGGGGTCGGCCGTGGGGAGCCCCAGCGGCCGCCCACAGAGGCAGGCTCGTGCATTTAGGAGGACAGCGGGCACTGACGGGACAGGGAGGCAGCCCCAGCCGAGTGGCTGGCACCTAGCACCTCTCCCCGCCCCGCAGGCACTCAGAGGCTGGCAGGCTGAGCTCAGGAAAAGGCAGGGGGCTGGGCTCAGCCCCACCACTGGAGCCACGGGTCCCGGCCACTGCTGCGTTTCCTGGACGGCTCTGGGCTCCGCTCGGGCTCGTTGGGCTGCCCCACGCCCGGGAGGGCTGGCTCTGCCTCCCGCTGCAGCCCTGCTGTGGCACACGCCTGGCACGTGAGGCCAGAGACCACCCTCATGTGGTCACGGTCGTCACGGGAGCGAGCAGTCCCCGAGGGCTCAGGGCACCTGCCGGGGGCCTTGGGATGCCCTCTGTGCTCATGGGGCAGGGCACCCACCAGGGCTCTGGGTGCCTCTAGGAAATAAACCCCTGGGGCCGGTAGGGGGTGTGGTGGTGAAGTTATTGGCCTCCAGATGGCTGGCCATGGTTCGAGTCCCAGACCTGGCAGCTTGCTTTCTGACTTTCCCTCTCTCTCTGGTCGAAACTTTGAAAAATAATAATAATAAATAAAAATTAAAAGTTAAGTAAAGAAAACAAAGCCCTGACGTCATAGTTGAGAATGGAGACTCACAGCCCAGGCTGGTGGCGTGGCGAGTCCGACCATGTGACTGGCCACCGGTTCAGGTCCCCATCTGGCTTGAAAGCTCCGGGCACGCTACACCTGCCTGAGGGCTGGGGAGGGGCCGAGGCCTGAGGAACCTCTGGAGGGTGCTTCCTCCTCGCTGGTGCACTCACTACCGTGAGTAAGGTCAGCTTAGAAACAGACCCACGACCTGAAGGATGGGATGCCCCGCATCTGCGTCTGCGGGGAGGTCTGTGCAGGCGCCTCCAGACCCGTGTCTCCTGGGCTGTTCCCTGCCCTGCGCCTGCAGGTCGGCCCCGCTCTGAGGGTCCATCTGGTCTGGGCATGGTCCCGGCCACCTCCTGGGCTGCTGCTCTAATCAGTGAGCAGACACCCAGCGGCCGCAGTGGGGTCCTCCCCTCCAACGGCACCTGGGCCGCGGGTGTCCGGCCTCACTCACTACGGCTCAGCACTCACCCTCTATTTGTTTGTTTGTTTATTTATTTATTTATTTATTTATTTTTGGAGAGATTTTCACTGTAGGGCGGCGCGTGTGCTCGCCAGACAGAGAGAGACATAGAGACAGAAAGCGAGAAATCACCCCCCAGGGGGGATGGTCAACGCCGCACTC